AAACCCAAAAGCCCATAAAAAATAGTAGAAATGTGCCCTATTTCTTATCTTCCTTTTCTAATAAAAATCCTAAAACAAAATAGCTCATGTACACCGTCGGACAGTTTCCAGTTACCATCCCAAAAATTACGACAAACGAGCCAGCGAACTCTGGCCGATGGATGTTAACACACATATGCACAAGTAATGAATCATCGTTATAGTAAGATATATATACATATCTCAAAAATATACAAAATAAACCTATGTACACACACACATATATATAGCGAGAGAAAAAATCATTTGACGTTTTTAAACATGGCTTATGATGTTTTCTTATTTTTAGATTGGCCGGTCCCTTTAAACGATAAAAAGAATAAATAGGACGTCAGTAGCCCTGCTCGTAAGTGTGTATTTAAATTAAACATAATGTTGTGAGATAAGAATAAATGATTATTAGGTAATAAATACTTCATATGGGACGATAATTTATTACATGGTTATAGGGGAAATATATATGCTATAAAAAACAATGTGTTCAATCAACATTTTTCTAACCATCAAAGTACCAACTTTTTTTTATAAACCCTTCGCTACCGATGGGGTCCATATATTGCATCACATTGAATATTCTTATGTTTTTGCCTGTTACAAATCACAAAGTAAAAAACTGACAAAACAAATAAAAATCAGTCAATTACACAGGAAACCCAGTACTAATGCATGGAATTAAATGCAATATTGACGGTGATTTTGTTTAATTTACTTGTATGACTCATACATTATTAGGGATTCTTTAACCAGCAAAGTCATGGACTCACAAGCAATTTGATATATAATTGGCTTAAAAAATGTGTTTGAAAAAAAAGCTCATGCGGTTCATACGAGCTAATGCATAAATGGGGTGCGTGTATAATGCAACATAGAAAGAACAAAATAAGTCGGAGGGGGGTTCTGTCGCATCAAGAATCTAAAATAAGATTCTTAAAGTGTTCATTAATATTCACAGTCCTATTAAAAGTACTGTAAAAGATTTATTCTATTACTACATCATGTGTATTATACTATTTTATGTTTTACAAAACCACATGGATATAATACTGTTTACTTTGTTAAAAGGTCATTATACAATACACAAGCTGAGGAAGCTAACGTGTATACGAGACCCAGAAAATATATATGGTAAAAACAGGCACGTGGAATATATGGCAGCCACCACCGATCTTCCACCTATGCAATTAAAAGAACATTGCAACATTTTAAATTGTTATTTTATGTATTCATGTACAGTATGATTGGCCTTCTGTTAAGTGTATACTGAGTGAGGTTTTATAAGTATTTTTAAGGTATTACATTATCTTCCACGGTTCTGGAACTTTACTATTTATTGAGTTGACGCCCAGGACTCAATTAAACAAAACGTTACAATGTTATAATGATTCGTTGTGAACTCCTCTGGTTTCAACATGCGGTAATACTGTGCCGAAATTTGAGTTTTTTTGTTGTTGTTTTTTCAAATTGCCATTACAACAAAGATATGGCACTGATGGTTTTCATAGGTTATTCGAATTCTGTACCATATAAGTCTGTTAGAATTTCAGTATTAAAAAATTGTCTTGACTTAGCAACACCACTAGTTTAGGTCATATAAGACAAGTGGTTCGCAAACTATTTTAATCTGAGGGTCTCTTGATGTAAATAAAAAAGTCTGAGGCCCCTCAACCTATAAACATGCCTTAAAATTACTAATGAGCTTTAATGATATCTATGAAGTATGTTTTTAATTTGATGTGGCCTTTTCTTATCAATTTATATGTATTATAATTAGACCATTAGAAATTTATTATGTTTGGGTTAAATTTGTAGATTGATGAGCAATTAAATACACACTTAATTTTATATAAGGTTATCTTATTTTCGTTTTAAAATATGAAGCAATCCTTTATTTTAATTAATTCAACATAATTTTCATCGGCTTATTGTTTATTTAGAATTAAAATCAATTCAGCATCTTTGTTTTCGGCCCACTTTTGGCAGGTCCCCCAGAAAAAGTTTCACGGCCCCAGGGTGGCCGCGGCTCCCGCTTTGAGAAACACTGATCTAAGAGACATATGCCAAAGTGGGTAACTAACGAACTGCTAAAACGCCACAGTACCGCTGTCCTCGATTAAAAGAGAGAGAATAGATAAAAGAGAAAATCTTGTTTGTTGTTAAGCGCAAAGCTTCACAAAGGGCTAACTTTACTCTGCCCATTGCCAGTGTCAAAACCCTATTTTTAGCACTATAAGCTTATAGATTTACCGTTAAACCATCTGGGGTAAGAAAGAAAAGCGTGTATCAGTAAAAAAGAACGTTGAGAGCAGCGATAAGCCGTTAGTCCTTTTCTCCCAAAAAATTTATACAGAGTCGTTTGTCTGAGCACTTTCTGCAATATTTAATTAAAATACTGTTTCAAGCGATATTTTCAATGTCTTTGTTTAGATATTTCTTTGCTAGAGAGAGCTTCTAATCATGATGATAATAATACAATACTTGGAATGTTCGTGAATTTTAAGAATCGAAAATCTTTCTGAAATATCTAGAAACAAAGGTACTTTATAAATACGATAATGAGTGAAGCATTGGGTTAATTGAGAAGTTACAGGGTTTTCAATGAGGGATTCATATCAGTGCTAGTATTGAGAATTATCGCATCTATTCAGTAACCCAGTCGATTAACCGTGGAATTCTATAAGTAAGTTTATTTGTCAGTTACGTTGTTGTCGTTTGAAGCTTGTTACCGTTACCGGAGCCTTCATCGGATTGTTGCCCGATGAATGCCCCGTTAAGAGTGCCGAAAGCTCGCAAATTATAGTATTTTTACGTAGAAAAAAGTCCGTGTATATAAAAAAATTATTAAAAGAAAGAAAGAAAACATGCATATAGAAGTTCATTTTAAAAGTGTAAGCTCAGCAGTGTTAGATAAATGTCATTATTTCTGTCAATTCGCAAAAGTAAATTGTTTAGTATTAGTAAAAATATTAAAAAAGCTTAATAGTAGGTTAACATACATGTTGTTATGGTGTGAAAGCTTGCGATGTACGATTATATTTACATTTGTAATAAGACATTAGTGTTCACCTTATTATATTTTTAAATATCACATTCATTATCTAGTCCCATAAGGATTTTCATTAATTAGAAAATCGTATAATAATAGTATTCCAACCACACTATATTTGCCATATCCATTCACTAAAATAAAAGTAAAACCGACAAATAATTTATGTTATGATGTCCGTCTTTCTTAAGTTAAGTGTCAAATAGTCCTAAGGTTTTCAGAGCTGTTTAAAACGTGTATTGAAAATCACCTACAGACTTTATGTAATATAAGCATATTGTTTTACAACACCTATGTTTTATTATTATTATTATTGAGTATTAGAATGAAATAATATATTTAAGATACAATATATTATTTTTCAAAGGCTATAATTATAAAATGTTTATGAGAAATTCACCTAAAACTGTTAACAATCATATTAATCTGTTTCTAGACTAATTATATTTAGTTATCTGGATTGATGGCTTAGCCATGCATAATACGTTCCTTCCAGCGCTGTTTGCAAAAGTTGCATTCTCAAACTTCTTTTCTAAAAAAAGTATCAACAGATGAATGTGTACAGGAGATAATTGTAACAATCTTTAAAATGTTACATCCAAACAGGCACTAAATTTTTTATATTGTTTGAATTTCGCTCAAAGCTACACGGGCTATCCGCCCCTAATTCAGGAGTGAAAGACAAGAGGGAAGGCAGCTAGTCATCACCACCCACTGCCAGCTCTTGGGCTACTCTTTTACCAATGGATTGACCTCCACATTATAACGCCCCCACGGCTGAAAGGGCGAGCCATGCCGGGCTATTTTTTTTATCGGAATATTGTTTTTGTCTCTTTCTTCATGCGAGATTTTACGCCCGGCAACTCGAAGTAAGTCAAAGTTACAATATTTCATAAGAGAGAAAGTCAAGAAACAAAACCATTAGTTGTAAGAGTATTTTTGTAACCATCGGCCTAAGAAAACTCTTGGAAAACAAAATAAAAGTCATCTTTCATAGAAACAGACAAGACTCTGATCCTTTGTTCAGATTAACAAAATCCACAATTCGATGCTTTTATAAGAAAAAAAAGCTGTACTATAATTTGTTCCAAGTTTCTTAGATCTGTAAAACGTCTTCAACAACCAGTGTCTGGCTTACCTAGTTGCATTACCATTACTAAAATACTCAATATAACCTTCCTATTATCTTTCCAACATTTTCAGAAAAATTCGTGAACTTTTAAAGTGAATGTTCACGAAACACATCCTGATGCCAGTGATGGCATTGCTCCTGAAGCAGGAGTTCTACAAAGAGGAGTGAACAAACCTTGTTTATTATTCATGTTTATAATATACCCATGAATAACATATTAATCTATATTCTACTTGACAGCTAGCCGATAATGTGACTATCTATAGAAGCTCTCCTTATACTGCTATACTATAGCATAATCTATAGTTTATGCCATAAACTAATATTCGTTCTCCATTCAGAAAAATAGAAACTAACACAACAGATGTCGAGTATTCCTAAATTCTTCCAAACATAAATTTCCCAGGTACCTCTTTTTAAAAAATCATAGAGCCTAAAAATTAATTAAACCTAAACATGAAGAAGAAACTAAAGTATAATCTAGAGAAAAAAAATCACCTTAGAAATCTATTTGGGAACGATAAAGAAGTTACTTCCAAAATATAATTATAGTATTTGAAGCATATATCAATCCATTTAAAGACTATAATTTACAAAGATTAAAGTTAAGTGAATGCTGCTTCACACTACATTTGTGGACATCAAAGTACTTAAATTTGTTATTCGTATATTCTTAGACGCCAATTACTTGGATCAAGACATATGGAGCGTTTCGTAACACCTTAATATTTTCTCTGCGCAGACTCTGTGGTACTACGTCTGTGATTGATTACGTAACATTCAATATGGCAGAGGATGCATAAAGATGACGGATATGTGATCAGTTCTATTGGGTGATTAATATAACTTCATTTTGTTTGGGCCAAAACGTTTATTAGTTATGTCACCTGACGAAAAGGGACGTAATCGAAAGTTCTCTAAAAAAATGGACAAGGAGATAATACATAGTGGTCATTTTATGGTATCCGAGATTGACGAAGAAGACGACTCAGCTGTACCCCTTATTGGAGTACATGGGTCAGCTAACGATAACATTAACAGTGATAAAAATCCCATGTCTGTCGTGCCTCGGAATGTTAGCGCAAGGGTCAGAGGTTACGATTTTAATTATGCCTGCAAAGAAACTTTCAAAAATTACCATTTCGCACCTCGAAGTTCTCATTCAATATCAATTGATGCATCTTTGACAAAACTTTTCGAATGTATGACATTAGCTTATTGGTAAGTTTCTTGAATAGTGTAGACTGATGGTTAAGTAATAGTATTACTTTTTTATTTTTCTTGGTAGGAAGACTGATTTTACATAGTATAGGTATCTTAATTGACATAAAAATAACAATTCTTTGCTTACAATATAAAATTATATTGTTTTTGAACCTGTAAAACTGACTAAATATAGCAACCAACAGAAATCTTAACAAAATAAATTTCATTTTACTATCTGTAGTCTCAGTGTTTCAGTTGAATAGGTGGGAGTGCAAACGAGCCACCTTTTGAATCACAAATAAACAAGAACTCAACAAACCTCCATGTCTACTTGCAGATTAAAAGCAAAATTAGTATCTTTTATATAACACATTCAACATACTGAACAGCCACTAATCCCATCCTCCAGTAGGACAGTGGTAAGTTTTGGGATTTACAGTGCTAAAATCAGGAGTTCAGATGTGGCTTTGCTATAACAAAACACACACACACACACACACTGATCCCACTTCTCAGTACATTGTGTCATACTGGTCAAGCAAATGCCATACTGTAAAGTTGTGTTCTGGCCATGATAAATTCTTCATATTTTCAATTGCACTAGGACAACTAAATGTGCTTTAGAAGGTTGTGGCTGTTTGTTCACACCTACATACTCCTAACCAGTGTGATAAGGTGTTTAAATTGAAGAATTCAAACAACAGTATGTTTACATTATACAATAAGGTGCAAAATATTATTAAAAAAGGATTTACACACTTATAATTATGTCTATACTAGTCAAAACCCTTTTTTAAATTTTGTAGTGCTGTTAGTTAATATTTAATTTGCAAAGTATAGCATTGTTGAATGTATTTTTTGGCCAGTTGAAGTAAATATGTGTTAATCAGTTTTATTTGTGTTGTTTACTATTTTAAGGAAATATATATATCTATTTTACAATATTCCTTTTAAATAATGCCATCTTTAAGTTAATGTTATGACTTTTATTTTACCTGTGGCTTTAAGTAGTAGGCATAGCGATTTTTAAAATGGTCACAGAAGTTTTTTTATAGTAACTGCATGCTTTTGCTAAGATTGTTCAATAATTTTACTTCCAAAAAATGCATGTTATTGTTAACATTATTTTTAAATAGCATTATTTTACCTCATTGAATTTTATATTGCCATTTATGTTGGTGTATCAACCTTTTTATGTAGAACTTTTGTTATAACTTGACCATATTTATCACATAAATATTCCAAAATAAAAATAGTTAAACCTCCATACCTTTTTTATTCACCCGATTTAAGTATGTCACATACATAAGGCAATTGATATTGAACCTTTGTATACTGTACAGTAGGTCTTTGTACACTTCTATTTGCGTGGTGAAACTTTAACAAAACAAAGATGATGATTTATGCATTATGATTGGCTTAAAGTAGTTTAAAAGAAACTTTCAGAAAAAATTTCAATAAACAATAAATTTATTGTCATTTGGATTTGCAAGCTTTTGTATAAAAAGTGCAGTTTGCAACATTGGCAATTGATAGTATAAACACTGATTATAAACTTACCAGGAGAATGTTTATTTGAGAAATATTATATGAAATATAACTGTAATAATATTTATTATAATTTTTAATTACTTACAACCCCTTGTTAACAGTAATTTTGAGGAGTTTTTTTTTAAGGTAAAACTTTCTGTGTGAACCATGTGACCATAGATGAGTGTCATGAAAAAGTAATAGATAATTATAAATATCCGAAAGGAAAATATTAAAAACAATAACAAAAATGAGTGGGGGGGAGAAGTCTACAAATTGCTGAGAGAGTAGCGATAAGTTTAAAAAATAGTTGAAGCTTTTCTTATAGTACTTGTATTTGTTCATATAGAAATAGATGTTACTGAGTTAACTGAGTAATCTGTTGAGTCATTAATTGCTTATTTGCTTTTTTTCTCTTTCTGTAGGACTTTCATTGCAGATTGTTTCAAATTATTGTGTTTACATATAATAAATTTTGGATTCTTAATTTTTATTCTTTCTTAATCACAAGTTACAGTTTTTCTGTTTTAAGTTATAACATTTTGAATGTTTCCATATCACTGATAACGCAGGCCTGCGATGGTTTTATTGCCTTGAAATGTTTACGTGTTCTACAGTAATTCTTGTACACTGAATCAGAAAATGATATTCATTTTTCTCCATCACGTACAGATTTTCAACAAAACATCATAACACAATACAAGAAAGACCACAATACATAGTTTTGAGACTAATAGACATAGATTTCACCAAAAAATTTAGGATGAATGAGGATGCATATTCGTTTGACATCAACGTTTTTCCAATTTCTTCAGTTTGTTTGTGTATTTGTTAACAAACATAATAAAAAAAAATTTCACTGTAGTAAAAGAAATAATAATTTGATCTAAGTAAGAGTTTTTTTTCTTTCCAATTTGAAAAAAGTGAATATAATTTTTGAAATATAGGTAACTGAATTATTGAAAATCTGTTATTAAAACCGAAACAACTTTAATGAAGCTTAAATTCGCAGGCCTGTGTAATTGCACAATGATCATTTTTACTTCTTAGCCCAAAGTAGCCCCAAATATTTCATGATAAACCCACCCTTGACCAAAGATTAAAATCACGTGTGAAAAGAAATGTTTGTATTTTTGTTAACAAATATAATAATTAAAAATGTTCAACGAGGTAAATGAAATAATAATTTGATCTAAGTAAAAGTTTTTTCTTCTCAATTTGTAAAAATTCCTTATGAGATAGAAAAAAATAAATATTATTTTTGAAATCTGCGCAGGTGAATTATGGAAAATCTGTTATTAAAACCAAAACAGCTTTTATGAAGTTTAAATTTGTAGGCCTGTGTAATTATCTTAATTCCTTTAATTTAATGTATGTGGATTCAACTGTTCTCCTTTTTCTGACAATTTTTTGTTATTATTTAATCTTTCTTTTACTTTAAGTAATATTTTATTCTTGATTATGTCATGTTAATACATCTTTGCCAGAAATCTTTGTACCAATAACAGCTGAAAAAACAGTTACCATCAGAAATTTGTTCTTTAGTTCTTTATGAAAAATATTTTTAAAATGTGGGTTTCTTAGTTTTATTGTAGTTTATTTTTATCATGTTAGTTTTTGTTTGGATGAATTTTAACATTTTCAACCTTTTTATAATTCAATTTTAAATAAACTTGGTTCTATTTCAAGGCAGAATTTCTGTTTCTTATAAAACAGATACCCTAAAAAATTTTGTGGATAATCATTGGTATAACAGTCAAGATAAAATAATGTACAGTCCTTAAGAGGTTCTAGCACCCAGGTGAACTATGTTAATCGTAATTAGTATGTGTGGAGGAGCCTAACTGAGTGTTAGCTGATATCATAGAGAGTCTAGATGCAGTTGAAAACATTCCAAATCAAATACAATTTATTCCAAATGTATTTGTAAAAGAGCTTGTGGAGCCTATTCTCGTTTGATACAGGTCATTAAAATTACTGATCTGCATTATGATAATGTATAGCCACTATGAGAGAGAAGTTTACTTCAGAGTATACAAATAGTTGCAAATCCCAAGAAACTTTGTCTCGTTATTGGTTATTCCATACTACAAAACTTAAACAACAAGTATTTCACATGTTATTTAAGAAAAATGGTTTTAATATTACAGTGGACAACTGACATCTCCACGATGGAAAACTTTTAAGGGGCTTAAGTTCCGGTTAAAAGAAAAAATCAGACTGAACAATATTATTTGGAGAGCATGGCATATTCAGTGTAAGTATTAAGTAATCTGATTTATCTGGAAACATTTTAACATATATGCATATGAAGATGATGTCTAGTGTACCATTGTTTTTAGCCACATGAACAGCATTCTACTGTTTTGTTTAGTTGTGATTGTACTAAATTAAAATTTGTGATTGTTTTTATGGCATAGGTGTGCTACAAATTAATATTTTTTACACATGGCCTGTACTTAATTAATATTAACTATGTACTTAAAACAAAACTAAAAATCAACCTGTCAAACCAGTATAGCTAATTCAGTGTATGTTTCTTACATTTCTACGTATAATGATTGGAATGTTAATGATATTTTTGGCAGTAATCTCATAATTTTTGTATATAAAATTAACTAAAGCTCATGGTATTGACTTGTTTCGTGGTAACATTTTTCTTCAGATATATTGAAATGCAAGCCTGCTATTTGTCAGTTTGCTTCACCATTGGAAGGAGACGTGCACAGCACACCAGAGGTATGCTTTTAAGTTTCACTTGAAATTATGTAAGCATTTAATTTTTTTCTTGCAAGTAATTATATCACTTCATAACATGTTTCCAAAATGACATATTATAATTTAGAAATATTGTAAATTTCCATTCTGTATTTCTCCCATGAACACACACACACACCCAAACCTTTTGTTTAAGTGTTATACCTTATGACTATAAATTTTTTCTTTGTATATTTAAATTTGTTTTATATTCCCAGTACATGCATTATTTAAGAAAAAAAGATTAAATATATGTATGTGTGTGTGTGTGTAGTAAAAAAGCCTTCAGATACTACTTTATTACTAGATAATGTTTTAGTAGTAATCACTGACTTGACACATTATTCTCTAGAACTAGTATGTTGGTAAGAAAACATTCAGTAATCAAACAAGTAGGTTTCAGTTCATATGGATATTAACTATTTAAGATTTCAGTTTGTACTTTACCAGTCAATAGGATAAATTAAACTAATGCCAATGTGGAGCAAAAACGTTTTTGTTTTTTTTATTGAGTGGTTTCTGTTTGTTGTAATAGCAAGTTTTGTTTTTGCAGTCCATTGTCTACAGCTGAATATGTATAACTGCTTTGATATTCACTTTTGCATCTTTAAACTGGATTCACTGAAGTCTATAAATACTTTAAAACTTGGTTGTTATTATTACTGTTTTAATGTGAAGATCTTTTTCTTAATATACATTCATCATTAGTTATGTGCATATTTCACGTGTCATTGTTTCAAAAATATATGGTTGTTTTTGTACATTTTGCACATACTATTCACCCTAGAAATACAGTACCTGTCCATGGCCTAATTCGGGGTAAGATGGAGTCCTTCATGTTGCCTGGGGGTATCTTTCCAGTAGGCGCTGATTTGAATCTTCATTCTGAAACGGGATATTCTGGAGAGAATTTAGACTCCCTGTTTCCTACTCCTTCTTTCACTAGAGCTTCCTCTCCTGAGGACTCATCTGATCAGCCACCTTCTGCTTAATTGGGACTTTAGGGTTGTTTTACATGTTTCAAATTTTCATCATTTCAAATTTCATATTTTTTTAGACCCAAATACAGCTTAGTTACGAACCTTGATAAATTATAGTGGAATCCTATGGTATCTACATTGTAATTTAAGGTTTTTTTGGTTATTCAAATATATATATAAAACCCCCCAAAAAATTATTTCATTTCATATCCTCCATGTGGAAAATTTTAAAAGGCTTAGCAACCTACATCAAGCAGCAACTTAGTACTAAGGTCATAACTAGAAGAGATAATTGTTTGCTTTAGTTCTTTATTTGCTGTTCTATGTTTTATGAAAAATTAGTTCAAGAACTTATTTGCAAATAATAATAATGTATAATAAATGAAATGTGACTGTATTTTACAAAATATAAGTCCACTAAAACACAGCCAAGACAGGTCAATTTGTAAAGACTAAAGGTCAGTTTTGTGTTATTGGATACGGTAACACGAGTGCACATACACCGAATCACTGTAACTTCTGTATTGTTAGCCAGGCACGGCTGAAAGGTGAATATAATAAATATATAATGTTATGAGATTTAAGCTATTTAGTCTGAACATTTATGTTTTCGTAATATAATTTTTGTCATTCTAGAACGAAAGAGGCATAATTTATATTTATTTCCTAATTTTTTTATGGTGTTTACAAGATTAGTCAAATCTACTGAACCAATACAGAGATTCGTTAGTGAAAATAACAGATAAAATATAAAGTTTTTTTCTTAAGAAATGTTTGATAACTATCTGGACACTATAAAGATTTTGCCTGTGAAATTTGAAAATTTTGTAATACATAAAAGTATTTTTAATCTTAAAATGAAAATTACTTTGCATGTTGG